ATTGTCTTGACCATGTCTACATGCCTAAATGCACTGAGTTGCCGCCATGTGATTGGCTGCTTAGAAATTAAGTGGTAACGAGCAGTTGGACAGGTGTACCTAATAAAGTGGCCGGTGAGTGTAGTTCTCCGTATAGGGGTTGGGGGGGAGGTTCAGACACAATACAAGCAAGCAAGGAGAAGCAGCATTTTTTCACATAAAGGTTACAGTTAAGTCCTGCAACAATGGACAATGGAAAAGCAAAAGTTTTTACAAAAGTGAAATCGCAATTTTGGTTAAAAATAATGGCAATTCTGGAAAAATCAATCAGCCTGTTAGGTTAAAAAATGTACCGTAGGTTCGTAAAAGAAGGACTGAATACACACAGAAAGGGACTTTCAACAACAGCTTCTGCAGAAGGGGAAGAGAGCTGCACCCAACTAACTCCTCCTCTCCGACCCCCTCCTTGCAGTGCCTTATTTATTAACAGAACATAACACATGGTTACAAACAGAGTATTGTTCTGAAAGGACAATTTATCAAGTCATAAGACAGGATGCTCTACTGACTGAATCATAAGACAGAGTGAAGCATCTCCTTGCTTCAATGTTTATATTATGTACATACATTCATTTTATAATCATCATTGAATAAACCTAACACAGCCCCAGTCACAGTCAGCGTTTGGTGAAGTGATACAAGCTGCAGGTCCCTTAACTTTAACTTTAGCTGGCATGATGCTGAAAAATTCTACCATTTTGCTTTGCTCCAATGTCTGTTTAACTTTAACGCCTACAAAGCAGAAGTAATAAAGGTGAAACTCCATACCTGCAGCCACACAGACAAAAAGGGACAGAAAGCAGATTCGTGTATGCCAGTAGAATTAAGCTCTTTTTCACAAATAGATTACAGTGAAGCAGAGTCCTGCACCGGGTCCGGTAACGTACAGCTAAGGGTAGAGAAAAAACGACGACAAATTATTTCAAGGGTGCGGCCATAAATGAACAAAATATGTGCAGGTATCATACATAGAATTACAGCTTGAATGAAATGTATAATTTTTATGTTCTTATTTATTAACTCTACATAATAATAGATAAATAGATTCAATAATATCCAGATAACAGTATTTTTTTATCAATGAGATAAACTATTTTACTTCGGCCAATTTATAGCTGTTAATCTCGGAGCACTGTGCCCATTGGATGTGAGCGTGAGGAATTGTTTTTTACTGCCTCTGTTATTAAGGACAGTAAAAGGTCTGTTATTATCTGCTGCAGTCGGAAAAATAAAGCATGTTGTGTTGAAGGACTGAAACGGCTGTGTGTACAATTTATGACCACGGGTCGGGTCACACTATAGTAATTACAGATCCGTGCGGTCCTGGCCGGGTTTTAAATGGGGATAATTGCGGGTAGCGGGTTGGGTCTCAGTTCTGAACTGTACGGGTAAAGGTGAATATAGTTTTGAAAAAATCAGACTCTAGACAAGAAAGCTTTAAATTAAGGTCATGAAAAATCTGAAACCCTGGGGGGGGGACCTCTCCTTGCTTATGGATTTTGCAAAGGAAATAAAATTTGCGATATCAGTTCAAAATAATCACAATTGTTAAATTTATTCTTTATACATTATGTGGATTGTTATTCTGTTAGCCAGATTAGACAGAGTAGATGGCCTTTCTTCACATTGTGGATGTCACTGTGTGTACGGAGGTCGTCTAAATAGGACAGCCTTCTTGTCTTTTAAAGATACACAGAATATGGGCACATCTTGGAGTCGGTCTGATAAAGGGGAGCTATATGTAATTCTTGGGCATAGAGGCAGGATGCATACAGGTCATGGAATGGATGGCGTGTCAGTTTCTGATGCAGACAGCTAAACATCCCCATGATCCAACACATAGACTCATAAGGTATAAGAAGGAGGAGATGACCTTGTTCGGGGCTCAATCTTTGCCGGACGCTCGTGGACGTGACTTTTGAGCCCACAGCTGTGCAAGCTTCAAGCATTTTTCTCTGTCCTGTAACGACCTGATCTGGAATAAACTGTTATTTTTTTACTCCTGTTTTTATAGTCCTTTTTTATATTGTTTTACCCAGTTTGAGTTAAGAATAGTAAATAATTTGCTCCCCAGGAAAAGAACCGTGAGGAAGCCCCCGAGGCGCAACAGCCTTCAAGAGGACATAACTTCCTCATTTAACACAATGTTGAATTAAAATTAGGTACCTGTCATACATGTAATATCTTTGGATAAGCTGCAGGAATCCACAGCTCAGGTTGGAACATCTGCTGAGAAGACGACTTTTAGTCATGTCCCGTTTCATTTTTCCTTTGACTTAAGATACTGGATCTCTGTGTTGGTCTAACAAAAATTCATTGATGTTTGTGGCTGTAACATAAAACATGACAAGTTTAAAGGATTTAAATATCTTTGCAATGGTTTACAGTATGTTCATGGCCTGTTCTCTCTGTGAAGAGCAGAGTAATAAAAAAAAGTCTCCCACATCTGTCTCTGCAGTCAGCAGATTCAGCAGCAGGCGCTTCAGGTTTTAAAGGAGAACCAGGTTCTGATGGATCAGCTGGAGGCTCAGCATGAAAAGGCCAAAGCCAATAACATCAAACACAAGTCTGAAGGTAGAGTAAGTGGGAAGTGAAAAAAGGAAGTATTTTTCATAAGCCAAAAAAAAAAATAAAAAATCAGAAAATCAAGTCCAAACTACCTAAGTGAAGTTGGCCCCCCCACCTTCTTCAAATCAGACAAAATTAGTGTCGAACGTTTGTGCAGCAAAAATGTTCGTTTGTGCTGCTATCGTTTTAAAGATATAAAGAAATATTTCTAGAGGTCATCAAAGGTCAACCAGCCCCCCCACCTTCTTCAAATTACACAAAATTGATGTCAAACGTTTGTGCTACGTTTGTGCAGCAAAAATGTTCATTTGTGCTGCTTTGGCTTTGAAGATATTAATGAAAATGTAAAGGTCAAAAGGTCAACCAACCCTTCCACCTTCTTCAAATTAGACAAAATTGGTGTCAAACGTTTGTGCTACGTTTGTGCTGGTTTGTGCATCAAAAACTTTCGTTTGTGCCGCTTTCATTTTAAAGATATAAAGAGATGTTTCTAGAGGTCATCAAAGGTCAACCAGCTCCCCTACTTTCTTTAAATCTTCAAATCCAAAGCAGCACAAACAAAAATGTTTGCTGCACAAACCAGCACAAACAGAGCTTAGGCCC